ATGTTGAACAAAAGTGGGGAGAGTGGGCTTGTCTTGTTCCTGAACTTAAAGGAAAAGCTTTCAGCTTCTCACTGTTACATATGATATTGGCTGTGGGTTTGTCATATATGGCCTTTATTATGTTGAGGTACTTGCCCTCTATACCTATTTTGTTGAGAGTTTTTATCATGAATGGGAGTTGAATTTTGCTGAAAGCTTTTTCAGCATCTATGGAGATGATCAAGTGATTTTTGTTCTTCCTTTTGTTGATGTGGTGGATGATGTTGATGGATTTTGATATTGTACCATCCTTGCATCCCTGGAATAATTCCTACTTGATTATGTTGGATGATCTTTTTGATGTATTTTTGAATTTGGTTTGCTATTATTTTGTTGAGTATTTTTGTATGTGTGTTCATCAGGGATATTGGTCTGTGCTTTCCCTTTTTTTGTGGTGTCTTTGCCTGGTTTTGGTATTAGGGTGATGCTGGCCCCGTAAAATGAGTTTGGAAGTATTCCCTTTTCTACTCTTTGGAAAACTTTAAGGAGGATGGGTATTAGGTCTTCACTAAATGTTTGATGAATGCAGTGGTGAAGCCATCTGGTCCAGGTGTTTTGTTGTTAGGTAGTTTTTAGATTACCAAATCAATTTCAATGCTAGTTTGGTCTGTTCAGATTTTCTATTTCTTGCTGGGTCAGTCTTGGAAGGCTTTATTTTTCTAGAAAGTTGTCCATTTTGTTCTGGTTATCCAATTTGTTAGCCTATAATTTTTCATTGTGTTCTCTAATAATTCTTTGTATGTTCACGGTGTCCTTAGTGATTTTTCCTTTCACATTTCTGATTCTGTTTATGTGTGTAGACTCTCTTTTTTTCTTGGTAAGTCTGGCTAGGGCTTTATTTATTTTGTTTGTTTTGTCAAAGAACCAGCTCCTGGTTTCATTGATTCTTTCTATTGTTTTATTCTTCTTGATTTTATTTATTTCTGCTCTGAACTTTTTTATGTCGCTCCTTCTACTGACTTTGGGCCTCACTTCTTCTTTGTGACTTTAGGCAGTTCATTTGGGATTGTTCTTCTTTCTTGAGGTAGGTCTGTATTGCAATATACTTCCCTGTTAGCATGGCCTTTGCTGTGTCCCACAGAGTTGTTGTCTTTGTTTCCATATATTGCTTGATCTGTTTTTATTTGGTCACCAATCCATTGACTATTTAGGAGCATGTTGGTAAACATCCAGGTGTTTGTGGTAATTTTTGCTTTCTTTGTATAATTTATTTCTAGTTTCATCCCTTTATGGTCTGAGAAGCTGATTGGTACAATTTCAATCCTTCTGAATTTACCGAGGCTCTTTTTGTGGCCTAGTATATGATCTCTTCTTGAAACTGTTCTGTGTGCACTTGAGAATGTGTATCCTGCTGCTTTTGGGTGACGTGTTCTGTAGATGTCTGTTAGTTCTATGTGTTGTAATGTGTTGTTATGTGCCTCTGTCTCGTTATTTTCTGTCTGGTTGTTCTGCCTTTGTTGTGCATGGTGTGTTGAAGTCTCCTAAAATGAATGCATTGCATTCTATTTCTCCCTTTAATTCTGTTAGTATGTTTCACATATGTAGGTGATCCTGTGTTGGGTGCATAGATATTTATAATGGTAATTCTTCTTGTTGGACTGACCCCTTTATCATTATGTAATGTCCTTCTTTGTCTCTTTTTACTTTCTTTGTTTTAAAGTCTATTTTGTCTGATAGAAGTACTGCAACTCCTGCTTTTTTTTCTCTCTATTATCTGCATGAAATATCTTTTTCCATCTATTCACTTTTAGTCTGTGTATGTCTTTGGGTTTGAAATGAGTCTCTTTTAGGCAGTATAAAGATGGGTCTTGCTTTTTTATCCATTCTATATCTTTTGATTGGTGCATTTAGCCCATTTACATTTAGGGTGATTATTGATAGATATTTACTTATTGCCATTCCAGGTTTTAGATTTGTGGTCCCAAAATATTCAAGGGTAGGTTGTTTACTCTCTAACAATCTAACTGAACTGAGTTAGTGTGTTATTTCTAATACAATATAAGGGTTCTTTTTTTTCTTCCTCCTCTACTCTTTATGTATAAGGTGTCATATTGTGTACACTTCATGTATCCCTTGACTGAATTTGTGATATGATTTAATTTTTCATTTATCTAGTAATTAATTGGTCTACTTTCTTTACTGTGGTTTTATTTTCCCTGGTGACAGATATTTAGCCTTAGGAGTATTTCCATTCATAGCAGTCCCTCCAAAATACACTGTAGCAATGGTTTGTGGGAGGTAAATTCCTTCAACTTTTGCTTATCTGGAAATTATTTAATCTCCCCTTCAAATTTAAATAATCATCTTACTGGGTATAGTATTTTTGGTTCTAGGCCCTTCTGTTTCATTGCATTGAAGATATCATGCCACTCCCTTCTGGCCTGTAAGGTTTCTGCTGAGATGTCTGTTGACAGCTTGAGGATTTTCCTTTGTATGTGATCTTTTTCTCTCCCTCTGGCTGCTTTTAATTCTCTGGTATTGTCCTTGATTTTTGCCATTTTAATTATTATATGTGTTGGTGTTGTCTTCCTTGTGTCCCTTGTGTTGGGAGATCTGTGCACTTCCATGGCCTCAGAGACCATCTCCTTCCCCAGATTGGGGAAGTTTTCAGCAATTATTTCCTCAAGGACACTTTCTATCCACTTTTCTTTCTCTTCTTCTTCTGGTACCCCTATAATGCAAATATTGTTCCATTTGGAGTGTTCACAGAGTTGTCTTATTATCCTTTCATTCCTAGAGATCCTTTTTTTCTCTGTGCCTCAGCTTCTTTGTATTCCTGTTCTTTAATTTCTATTTCATTTACCATCTCCTCTACCTTACCTAATATGCTTTTACATCCCTCCATTTTGTATTTCATTTTAGATAATGTATTTTTCAAAGTTTCTATCTCTTTCTGAAGTCCTCCCTGAAGTCTTGAATACTTTTCTTTATCTTGGTGAGAATGTTTATGATTTTTATTTTGAAATCCTTATCAGAAAGATTAGTGATTCTAGTTTCACTTAGCCCTCTTTCTTTTGTTTGTGGGATTTTGGTTCATACTAGATTCTCTTGCCGTTTCATATCTGTAATGATTACTATGGAATAATAAGTTTGTGTTGGCGGCACCCTCTAGTGCCCAGAAGCTCTACTCTCTGGAGCTGCCCAGCACCTTTAGAGATGGCAGGGGCTGCAGGTGAGTGGCACTGGGGCTTGCTGGGAGGAAAGAGCTCTTTCCTGCTTCCTGGCTGTAGTGCCTGCCTCTGCTCCCAGGGCCTGTGGACTGTGTGTGCAAGGAGGAGCCTCTGTATTATGCTCCTGTAGCTGCTGTAGGTGGGGCTGCCATCTGGCTGGCCTGGCACAATGGAGGGGGCAGCAGGTTTGCGAACCGATGCCAGCTGGGAAGGAGTGGCGGGTGTATATTGCAGTGGAGCATCTCAGTATGTGTTGCCAGCTAGGGGCATGGAGCACCTGAAGCCTTTGAAAGTTCCCAACCTGCTGGGTTGAGTGTGATTTTGTCCACCTGTCCTTTCTCCTGAGCAGCAAGCTCTGTGTAATCCTTTCCCCTTTAGCAGCCCTCCCACTGTTGGGAAGTCTTTCAAAGTTGCCTGCCTTTCTTTTGTCCCAGAATGGCCAGTTGTGGGTACCTGGTCTCCACAAGTGGCTGGAATCTGTCTCTCCAAGTATTCTGCCTGTCTTTACTTTCAAACCCCACTAATCTCCAAAGCACCATGTAATGTAGGTTCATGGTCCTGGAGCACATCTCTAGGTCTGGGTGTCCAGCAGTCCTAGGCCTCCTCCCCCTTCCCGCTATATTTCTCTTCCTCCCGCCTATGAGCTTTGGTGAGGAAAGGGCTTGGGTCCCGACAGATGGTGGTTTTGCTACTTTACCCTTTTCTGCAAGGTTTTCTCTTTTCCCCAGATGTAGGCAGTCTGTCATAGTCTTTTTTCAGTCTCTCTTTTGGGATTTCTTGTATTTGCTGTACTTTTGTATTATATGTGGTTTTGGAGGAGGTTTCTGTCTCACTTCTCACACTGACATCTTTAAGCCTCTCTTGTACTGCTTTTCATTAACCTTTTTCCATTTGGTGATTAAAATACCACTGGGAAAAGGTTTCTTTTTTCCAATTATATACTTCAGATTTATTAAAGTAATGTCTTAGATGTGCATTATTACAGTCTGTTAAATTATTTCAAAGTGATCAGTTCTGTGCTAGGTCCAACGAACATTGGATATATGGCAGTGAGTTATGTGAGAAAGAGGCTTAGAACTGGTTTTAGATGAACTGGGCTCTCCAGGGTGACGAATTCTTACATTTAGTTTTGCTATTAAGTTATTTCTTCAATACAAGCAGTTATTTAAGGTCTTTTATTGTCAAGGTCATCAAGCTATAGACCACAGGCTGACTTCGGCTTGCTGCCTGTTTTGTAAATAAAGCTTTACTGGAGCAGAGCTAAGCTCATAAAGTTACTTGTTGTCTATATCTGCTTTCACAGTACAGTGGTGGAGTTGCAACCCAGACCAACAATATGGCCTGTAAGGCCTGAAATATTTGCTGTTTGCCCTATTACAGATAAAACCTGTGACTTCTGTTTTGGGGAATCAATTATATTCCTCACCTGTAAAATTGAGATAATAATAGTACTATACACATATTAGATGAAAAATAATGACTTTAAACTATTATAACATTTTACTTTTAAAATCAGATGTATAGAAGTACATACATACATACAAGAACATATTTTAATTTCATTGTGCTTCTACATTTTACTTAATAAATTAATTAAATGGGTACAAAATCAATACAATTTTAAAATAAAGTTTCTCCAAGGAAACAAAGAAAAGTTTTTCTACTTTCCTGCAGATATAAAACTACTAAATCTCTTTTGTTAAAACATGAGATGGTGGCTATTGCTGAAAACCATCCTCTCTTCTCCCTACTCCTTTTCTACCTGCTGGATTCTGTCTGTACTTTTCTTACCTGGTACCAAGAATATGCTCGGTCTGATGGGTCAATGAGAATGGTGATGATCTTGGCTTTGGGAAGCAGGGAAGCCACTCTTCTAGGAGCTTCCTCTGAGTGGAAGTAATTGGCACTCTTCTCAAACAGAAAGTCAGTGGTGACATTAGATGGGACTGGGAAGAAATCCATATACCTAGAAAAGGAATATTTCTCAAAGTAAGTTTCTGGTTTATACTCATACTCTGGTGACTGAAGATGTTTAAAGGTGACTCAGAAATTTGTTTCCTAAACAAAAGCCTTTTTCTGTAGGGTGTCTGTCCCAAACAGTGAGCAAGGCCAAATGTGCAACATAGTAACAATGTATTTTGAAAATGCTTTTCTAAATATGTTTTATTTTGCTTAATATCAGAAAAAAAGGTCTCAGTGATATAAAGGTTAGACACAGAGTGATCAAATGTAACAATAATCAACTTAATTATATAAGATGTATCTAAATGCAGAAATACTTTACAGAGAAAAATGTGAGTGTTCAACCAAAAAACAAATTTGATGAAAACAGATGATATGTTTGGATCAAAGCCATTTTACAAGGGCTTAGAAAACACTTTTTACTTCATTACAAATAAAATTATTTCATTACCCCAAATGTGTTTGTGCTGTTGTTATGCTTAACTATCAAGTGTCAAAGTGCAGAACAGATCTTGTGTAAATATTGCCTATTTGCTTAATTTTTTCCCACACAGAGCCATTTATATTCTTTAGCATAATTGCAAAAGTTTTAAAAAAGTATGTATATATTTCCAAATATAAAATCTTAACAAATTCCCTAAGGTCAGGTGCTGTATTCTTAAGTGACGTGAGAATTCAAATTCCTAGCAGAGTGAACACAGGAATACCCAGAGCCTCAAGCACAGAACTGTAGAACATAGTGGATTTTGCATGATGTTCCTTCTGTACAAAAGTTGGTAAATATAAACTAAGTGTATGATAATAGATATTTCTGAAGCACTAAGGGATGCCTTTTAGAGGAAAAAGAACCTTTTTAGAGAGAATATGTAAGTTTACCTTCTAATGTTTCTTACATTTGATAACAATGGCCTTCTCTTCCCTGAGCCTCTTTAATTTACAAGCCATCAAGCATTTGGGCTACCAAGACAAAGTAGCTGAATAATTACCGAACAGGGGAGTCATTAACATATTTGTAATGACTTCTTTTTGTAGAGTGTTGCTCTCTTTTACTCATTTCACATGACAAAGTTTCTGGCAGGATTCCAGTTAACATACTGCAGAGTTTGGCTGGTGCCTCCCCTGGTGATGTCTTAGGACTCTAGGCAGTAAGTAAAGAAATCCTTCTGTGTTCTCTGGAAATCACCTTGTTGGTGATGTGTCATTCTGGCACCCTTTAGGATGAGGAGATATACAAACTTTTCTGGGAAGTTTGATGTGCTGTCTGTTCTGGCATATATTTTATTTACAGAAAGCACCAGATTTCAGGATATTTCTTAATTTAGATGGTCACACTGGTTCCCAGGGTGCTAAGGTTATGCCAAGTATCTAGTTGTATCTTATGTGGTCCAAGCTTGTCTCAAGCTTGCTTATTCTGAGAAAGGCTCCAAAAATCACAAAAGAAGGACAGAAGGTACTGAATTCAGACAGCTTCTAAAAACTGTCCCATCTTCCCAGCAGTCATCTATACCTGGAACAGTTTAGGCCTAGGAAACCTCCTCAAGCAGTTCCAGATCTTGGACCTGTAATGTGTTGATTCTGCCTGGTGTCAGAGGCTGAGAGAGAACAGAAGGTCTAGTTCTTGTTTGCCTATATGCCCACATTGTTTAGTGTAGTGGCTGAAATTGTTTGATGAGTAAACAGGTAAGTAAAAAGAACTCAGCTTCATATTTCTAGGGCAGAAATAGGTCCACATTTGGAGAATGTGAATACTGGTTTATATCCAAGGAATTGGTGAGCAAATTAGAGTGGCTTAACAATTTGGGGGCTAAAAATGAATGCCTACTTCATTTAACCTTTGCTGCTTCCATGACACCTCAGCAATTTTTTTAAACTGAAGGATGTGATTTTTTTAAGAATCCACATTTATTTGTTACTTGGGTTCACCCTGAGTATTTCTAAGAGATTCTTCTCAAAGCCACATTAAGATATTTAGAGATTCTAAATGCCAACAGGATTTTATGGCTCTCTATGTAACACTCTAAACCTCCATTGCATCCCCATGCAATTATAAAAAATAATACCAAGCCATAAAATATAAAACTTGACTGTATACATAAACCAAACATTTTTCTTAGATGTTTTAATTGCAAATCTTGGCTTTTATCAGACACGGAGTTTTCTCATTTTCATTTGCCCTGCTTTGCTTGTGCCCTAAGCCTGTGTTTGGGCTGCCTGTCAGTTAAGGCAGCCCTGGTGCTACTCAGTTCTTCAAGAAAAGCAGACCCGAACATCAGATTAATTAACTAAGCCTGGCTTAATTCTGTAAGTGGCTTTGCATTCTGAGATACGTGATCTCCAGCCTTGTGGCTTTGTGGTCCCAAAGGGATTGTTGAGGTGCTGATGCTTCGAGAAGCGAGGCCAGCTTGAGGACTATGACTATACTTGATGTCGTTGAGAGCAAAGCTATAGTTGTGCAAGTAGATTGACATCTGCAGTTACTATTTATTATTTATGTTAGTTGTCCTTTATAAATATATAATTTTTCATAGAAAACATATAAACATATAATTAAAAGTGTTTACAATTGGAATGTTTTTAGTGAATTGTAATTAAAATCTCTAATTGCTCTTCAGCTTTCTACTTTTTTTTGCCATTTCTTTGTAAACTGCTTAGGGGAATTTTTGTTTGTGTTACAGTGGCTATACACACTACTGGCTTATGAACAGCTTTAAAAAAAACGTTATTCTCAGGTATTTTTGAGTCCCAAGGTATCCAAATATTTCATTCCTTCCCACTTCTAAATGAATTTTTAATCACTCCCTTCAGTCCTAATGTTAACATCGTTTCATTCTACTCTACACAGGTATATATTTTTGAGTCAGTGGTCAAATAACAGTTAGAGTAGTTGATGGTTTCTTGATTCTCACAGATGTTATTTAACACTACACAATACAAAGCACTGTACTGAAGAATTGGCAGTGAAATATATAACAATTAGAATATATGTAAACCCCACTATGTGCTCAATTCTACTCAATCCATATCTTTATCTTTCCATTCAGGACTGCCCATAAGCAACTCTTGAGGGAGTTGATACTTATAAAATTGAGATCATGTAATTTGACAGTAGCAGTTAATATAAAACAGCCCTTATGCTAAAATGTATGCACAGTGTATATGTTCTTACTCTAGAATTATTGTAAATAGTTCACTCTTTTATACCACTTTCTATCCAGAATTTGTACCTTAACAAGACTTCTAGATATATTCCATGATTAACATGTTCATTTGTAACATCTATGCATACTATATTCCCATATTTTATGTACAGTTGACATTTTTTAATTTTTATTTAGCCATTTTTCACAGAGGGTTGATATAATTTCAATTTAAGATTAAATTTTGTATATTGTTGAAAGCTTTTTTATAGCTTTCATTACATATGAAATATATATACATTTCTAGTTCTATTTATTTATTTAACTTTTGTGCCCAAGCAAAATAGAAAATTATATATGTGTATTATAGCATCACTTCAAAGCAACATTCACAAGAAAAGAAAGCTATGGAAGTGTTTTCTTGAGAATAGAGAGCAATGAAATTCCTGGGTATTACAGTACATCATCAAAGATAATACAAATTGAAATTATATGTGGGCCTCTTGAGGTGACAAGTCCTTTCACAAACTCAGAAAGGTTTGTTATGAATAATTCCTGTGCTTCTTCATGTTATTCAGTCAGTTTCTAAGGCACAGAGGATAACTTTTATTTGTGGCTACAAACATATGTTTATAAATATTAGTGCTACTTTTATACTGTGCACAGTACATATACTTTCAGATTTATACTAATAACCCATCTTACCAATCAATCCCCCTGTGGTAGTTATTTCTATTAAAGAACTGTACCTCCTCAAAGGTTTTTGGGCTGGGGGAGTTACTAAGGATGGAAGGATGCATAACCAGGAACAAATACAAAGCAGTGGTTCCTGAAAAGACAATAGAGGTTTAGAGATTAATTAAATAAAAACAGCTTCCTACTATCACATTTCAAACTCATTAATAAACCAGCTATTACAATGATACAAACAGATACATATAACTACTACTTGAGTTAAATTAGATAGCCAGTATTTTAAAAGAAGCAAATTTTAAAATATGGAGGCAATGGGATGTGAGGTTCATGAAGTGGCTTGTTGCAGGGATTGGGAGAACTGGTTTGGACCTCAGCTCACTCACTGATTTAGTCTGTGATTTAGACTTTTAGCTTTTTTGTCTTGGCTTTATTAGTGGAAAATCACCAGCTTTGCTTATTTCATAGACTTTTTCTCTAAGGATGAAAAGACATTGTACCTGAAGATATTTTGATATTAATAATGTACTATGTAAATGAAAGATATCATTATTTAATGCATTACATTACCAAATCTATACTTGGGTTTTCCTATGAAGTTCTCCCTATGCCCATAGATGTTTATTAAATCTGAGACAGAACTTATTTTCAACAAGTTTGTTTAAATTTGTATGTACTTACATACTTAGGAGAAGTAGTCTCACGTATTATTTAAATTGCTAAATTTGAAAAAAATGGCACCCTTTCTTAGTGACATTATAAAATTGGTATTTTTTTTGGAAAGAGCATGCATATCACAGGTATCCATATTGATTTGTGACTATTGAGAATCAAGGGTGTGATTCTTTTTTTAAAGTGAGCCATGTCATAAACTATAAAATTAGTGTTTTAGAGACTAAATTATGAGCCAAAGTATATATCTTAGACTGCTTCAAGAGAAAAGGCAATCTGAGTTCAGTATGCCTAAGATTTAACTACGTGCTTGCAACTGTAACTGTGTTTATAAGATCATAATATAAAAAAATATATCTGGTCTATGTATTCAGTATTCTTAAGAGAGAAATATACTTGTCTCTACTTCTGTACTGTAATGTGACTTATGTTGCTATACAATCTGATGGAACAGGACCTGTCAACTGTATTTGAAGTAAATAGCTAGCAATGGTAATCAGATATGCCTTACAATATTTCTCTCACTTGGAGAAATTATTATTCTAGTTTTGCTTAATATTAATGTCATATTGCTATCTGTATCAACTTTTGAGTTTTCTTATCTCTCTAGCATATTTCCCTTAATATCATACTTAAATCTATGATGTCAATACAACAAAATAATTATTAAAATAACTTTGTCAACAGCAATATCTAAAACAATGAATTGAAAGAGGCCATGTTCCTAGATTATAGCTGAGCCAAACAATGAACATTTTATCTACATCACAGATAACCTTAGGGAATGAAACAGTAATCTATGATATACAAAGTAAAATTGTTCTTCACAAGCTTGATTTATAACAGTGATTCCCAGACTTCAGCATGCATCAGATTCACGTTACAGGCTTGTTAAAACCGGAGAGTTGGGCCTGATCCCATAGCTCCTGATTCAGCACACTCCAAGAAAAAACCACCTTAGAAGAAATGTGTAACAAAACCCTAAAACTCACTAGAAAAACAATGTTACATTACTTGAAATCCATAGTAGAGTAAAGCTTTATAGAGGATAGTCTTTAGAGTCAGGTAGATTATAGGATCAGTTTTGTTTCTAACACTTACTAGCTGTGTGAACTTGAACAAAAGATACCTAACCTAAGTCTCAGTTTTCTTATTTGTGTGGTGGGGAAGAAGTACTTTGCTATCAGGGTTTTATGGGAGTCAAGTAAGATAACCTATGTGAAAGTAACTAAATAGCTCCATATCTGAATATTAGTAAGGTATTTAAAAAAATAACTTTACTGTGATAAAATTCAGTAACACATTTTTTTAAATTGAAAAGAACAAAATCTTTGTGATGGAGTAGGGCTATTACAATGTGAAAAAAAAATAAATTCATTTCTTAGATCAACTGAAAACATCCTTTCTTGAATTTTGTTTTTAAGAATTGTATTAAATTATGTTATTTGATTTTAACAGCATGACCAACAGTAATAAGACAAACAAAAAATGATATGGTCTAATTGTATCAACAGTAAACACATAATGTAATTTATCAGTGGTCAAAAATGTTAAGTTGTGGTTTCTGAATTCTATCTTACACATATTCTTGGCTCTGAATTAACTGTCACGTGTGTCTGTGTATAAAAACAACTTTATCATAGACACATACCCTCACCCATCCATCCATAAAGCTTCAGTTTATATATACTTTTGTCAGTTTCAACACTAAAAATATTTGAATATTCATGTAACTATACATCTATGCAAAATTATTCAGAAATATTTGATAGAACTAAAGTTAATAATAAAGTTATATTAATTTTCATGGAATTAATAGCATTTATTTTTTTGTCCGTTGAAAAAATTGATTTGACAAAATTGCCATATACACAACATGGATGAATCTGAGAATTATTAATTGAAGTGAAAGAAGTAAAAGACAAAAGATTACATACTTTATGCTTCCATTTATGTGAAATTCCAGAAAAGGCAAAACTATAGTGGCAAAAAGTGGTTGCCTGTGGCTGAGGATGGGGGAGGGGGAATTGACTGTAAAATGATGTGGGTGAGAAAAGTGTTCTACATCTTGAATGGTTTGGTAGTTACACAATTGTGTACGATTTCCAAAATTCATCAAACTCTGCACTTAAAATGGGTGAAATTTATTGCATGTATGTTATACTCAACAATGCTGGGAAAAATTCAATTTTTATAAAAAGGAGATAAAATTCCCATCCAAAGGAAGTGTCATATACAACTTATAACATAAACATTTGGAAACCCAGTTGAGTTTAAGATGACAAGTAGTAATTCTGCCATCAAACCATGATATTAAACTGTCTGCAGATCTAACACAAAACAAGAGGAAGCATATCCTGCAGCGCTTTTGAAGCAAACTTGATATGCCAAGCTTCAGAGAGATGTGATCAGTAATGACAAAGCTATGTGGTGACACTGGGAGTTCGCTGAAGAGACTTTAGTTTAAACATTTTTCTAGTTGCCTCTTGACTTTAACTAGATTAAGACAAATAAATAAGGGCTAGAAAAGTTTTTATCATATTTATTATTATTTTCAGATTGATATTTGCAAATGGGACTATGAGAAAATGAATAGGCTAAACTTTCTGTGTACATTACATAGAATTCTCTCTAGTTATTACTAGAGAAATGAGGAGAGGGAATGTATTCCCTTAGGAAGGGATATGGTTGAAATGACTGTTTCCTTTGAAGGCAGAATCCAAGGTTCCCAAATAATTTATCATGCAGTATAGAACATGAATGTCTGGCATTTTAAAGCTCCCACTGGGCTTCATCTGAATACAGATTCTCACAGAAACAAGCAGCATATGAAAAAAAAATTGCATGCAAATTACAGAAAAGGTGCAAAAGATTTCTCCTGGGATGAATAAAGCCTTTCTTAGTAAAAAGTTTGTTTTTTTGTCTAGGAATTCTGGTTGTCAAACATCCTTTAGACTTCTAAAAAATGGTCATCTTTGCAAGAAATAGTTTAGAAATATACAATATAAGGAAGATGGCAGGAAGGGGCTCTTTTTCAGGAAGGAATTTATTATAAAGAGTTGTAAGTACTTCTATGCATCCATCTCAACTTTTGATGAAATTCTGTCAGTCACTCTTTAAGCACATCATTTTGATTTAAGAAATGTTAAGCAACACTTTTTAATTAAGATCTTTGGAAAATTTGACATTTGCCATCAAATTGCTGGATATTCAAACTGTATCACAACTATTTTTATCCTTTTCTTTTTAAAAAACACTTTGACAAGCATTTAAAGACCTTATTGAATTAAACAAAGATTATGTCAGAGAATAAAATGTACTACTCATTCATCAGTATTTATAGGAAGTTTGAGAACTTATTGTGACAGGAACTCATTGTCTAGTCATGAGCATTTTTCTACTGACTGGTTAATCATTAACATTGAAAGTTCTCACCAATTTTCTGGGGTCCTATTACCAACAATTTTGGTAAGCGATCACAGGTTTTTTCTTTAGACCAAATGTCTCTGTGACATTTGGTCTAAAGAAAGATTCTAAATAGGAGAAAGAATATAGAGATATATTTTTTGTTATTGTCTATTGTATGCTAGGGTTTTCCAATTTCTGTACTTAAAAAGTTTTCCAGGAAACAGCTATGTGGCTCCTTCTTTTAAATTAAAGCTTTGAAGTGCCATTATGGAAGCTTTCAAATAATTCCTTTCCATCCTAAAACCAAAAAACATATCTCTATATTCTTTGTCCTATTTAGTTGAATGTCTACTGAACAGGTGTGGGAGGGGAGACATTTCTGTTCCCATCAGTAAGCAGTCTCATAGTACTGGGGGTTTACTATTTTTTTGCTATTGGCAGTTCTACATCCTGTGTGTTTGTGTTAAAATAGTGAGCTAGCTGGGCAGAGAATGTGCTTCCTGCTAGCCTGAAAGAAGATACATTCTCAGCATCCAATAAGTAACTGAAATACAAGGTGTCAGATTTTTATTATAAGTAACTTTGAGTTTTCTTTCTGTATTTCAAAGGGATGTGGGTCTGGTCTAATGTTACTGTTTAAGGAGACAGCAGATTTCCTTCAGCTGACATTAGAGGTTGGTAAGTTTATATCTAAAACTACAACTTAGTCTATGATGCTAAAAAGCACTAAATTTCAGCAAAAGGGTGAAATGAGTGTGAGTTACTACCTTATGAATCTGCTTTTGGTCTATAGCACTTAAACCAAACCCACTGTGCAAGATGTATCTAGAATATTCTTAATTTTAACGGCAAAGTGCATATTATGTGAAGAATTAACAGTGTCCTTTAATACTATTTCAGAAATGGGCAAACAGGACAACACTCTATTTCTATTCAAGTAATAGTGTACATACTTGTAGTTAAATAAACCTTCTGCTTATTTATAATCAGCAGATGTTAAGACTAAGAGAGGGTATTCTTTCTGGCTGCTGTTTTGGAAAAAAACTGGCTTCAAACCTGTCACCTGAAATAATATTTCAGTTTAAAATTAAAGTGTTAAATTAGCAGGAAAATTACATATCTTTGAGTGGCTAACATTTGGTGATGTTTTGTAGATGTTAAGATAAAAAAGATGCTGTTTGCAGTGTTATTAATAGTAGACTATTTTTAATATAAAAATGCCATGACTAAAAAAAAAGAGAGGGATGTGTGTTATGGCAACTGCAAAATAATATGCAGTGAAAATTCCACAACCACCAATTTCTACCTACTAAAATATGTAGTTCTGCCTCTTCTTGGGTTTATCTGTGATCAGGAGATAATCAGCTCAAGTTCAAAGCTGACTGAATTGACTATAGAAGCCAGAGCTTACTGATTATAGAGTTCAGAGCTTCTGAAGATCTTCATTATTGTACCATCACCTTTATCAGTAATTCTGTAGTAGCTCAGTACCTCACATTTAGAACAGTGATTGAGAGTACAGCTCCTGGAGCCAAATGGCCTGGGACTGATTTCCACCCTGCCACACACTAGCTATCTTACCTTGCTTAAGTGTCTCAGCTTCTTCATCTGTAAAATGGGGATAATAATTATACATACCACAGAGGGCAGTTGTAAGGATTAAATGAGTTACATGTTTAAAGAACCCAGTCTGACACAGAGTAAGCACTATGTAATTATTTGCTAAGATTATTACTTTCCCCAGATCATGGAGTAGGCAATGCAAGTTCAAAATATGTTTCTGGAATTCTAGGACACAGGAGAGGGTGTGCTTTGAAATCTGGGTGACACCTAGAACAGTCTGAATATGCCACACTTTTGTGATATTTTTCTCTTAGGAAGCTCAATAATTTTGCCACTAAACACTTTTCCCATGTCCAAAGTAATTCCCGACTAATACTTTTGAAAGCATCCCATGTTCTGCAGCTGCTGAACCCCATAGTTCAGAAGTTATATGTCAGTTTTGAACTCTTTTAACCTATTCCTCTTATGTCATTTAGTTAAGATATGGGAAGTGCCAAGGTTGACCGGCTGGATACCTGCCTGACACACCCATTTACCATCTTCCACTCGTTTAGCCTGTTCCAAATCAGTCCCCCATTCCTGATTGAAAACATTACATCCACTGAACCACTCAGTGAGCTTTCAGGATTCCATAATTTCTAATGAGCATGGGAAGAAGAATTTGGCTGACTATTAAGCAATAATATAAGACTACAACTCAGAAAGAAGTAGGTCCTTAAATCTAACATTACCAAAATGTAGCTTTTTTCACCCCAATGCCTACACTTTTCAGATCTGGATTATCTTAAGGCACTCCAACATATGTTGTGGGGTGAATTAATTATACCAATTATTGAACCAATCTCACCTGCCAGAGAGGGTCTTTTTGATCAGGGAAGCGCTCAAAATACTTATAAGCCAGCTGCATTGGAGGCAGAGTCTGAAGTTGCAAATTGCTCCAGCTCTGCATGAAGTTGGCCAGGTTAACAAATGTATATAATCCCAGTTGGTCATTCCCATAGTTGGACAAATGGGTCATGAAAATGCTGATCTGGAAAAGGCAAATGAATTCCATTATTTCAGTTATAAACACAAGTTACTTTGACCTTAGGGGACAGTGAAATCAGTGCCAGTTTTTTCTTAGGTAGTTTTAGCACAGGGTTTCAATTCATGATATGTTTTGAATTTTAGACATATTTCAAATACTTTCATTATATTAATGCATACTGGATGGTATTTTTTAGCAAGTCTTAATGAGCATTGTTTTTATGACATTTTAATATATTTCATAACAAAAATGAATCCAACTGTCTTATAGTTTTTGCAGTTAGATTGATGCTAAATAACTTATCCTAGATCTTTATACATAATGGACTTATGATATGTGAACTATCTCTAATTTGAGGCAGTAGAATCCCAGGAGGCTGGGGTTTTGTAATTCAATCTGCTTAATTTGGCTTGTAAAGTAACACTTCAAGTTAAGGGGTATAAGTAATCAATGAATTAATCATTATTAGCATTAACTGAATATCTTCTGGTTTGTATTGGTTAGAGGTCATAATGACAGAAGACTAGGGACTGAATTTTTAATAAAATAACTCTAACTATTCTCCATCAGTAACATTCTGAACCCCTCTCCCATAGTCATTAGGTCTACTATTCCCACTACCAAATACCTCCCTTAAGAAAAGTTTTCAATACTTGGCTAGATAAAATTAACTCTTCCTATGGAAGCAGCTAAACTGAATCCATGCATTGAAAAAAAAAAATTGAATTCTGTTGATTGATTACATTGGTCTAAAATGTAGAATAGGCATTTTCAAGCTACTGCTTTAAGTGAATATACATAAAGCTTTTGTTGATTATTGTTGACAAATGGAAATAATGCTACATGACTTTTTCAGTGGCAAAGAAAACCATTGTGTCATTTATGTTGCTGTAGAAAAGATCATAAAAATAATTCATGTGATACTTTCCTAAAATATATAATGTCATGTGAATGAATAGTAATAATGGTTATTATAATCATAATAATGAATAAAATAATTTTATTCATTAAGAGACTGAAAGAAATATTCAAGAAAATATATTGAAGTAAAGTGGAAGAGATGAAACGTTATATTAAGATTTGATAAAATGAATCAGAAAAAAATGTAGTTACAACTATGAAGAAGAGGAAACAGTGATATTCTTTATTCTAAAGAACAAATCCTGCTGGCCTTCACACTAAAAGCTTCAGCTGTGATCAGGCATATTTAACTGTGTTTCTATTCACCTTGTCTGAACATATATTAAATTTTAGTACTTTCACAAATATAATACTTTGAGGGTGATTTCAAAAGCTGCCAGCAGATTGACGCAGTCATGGACTGATAAGAATTTTATCATGTTGGGTATTTCTGAAAAATGAGCCTTAAATTTTTCTTTTTCTTTTTATCCTCCAAAACTTACTACAACAGTAGTATTGAGAGACTTAAGAAAATCATACTTAAATTTGAAAGTTCTTTTCTAATATCTGTTAGAGGCAGTCTTTCATCATTTGTTTTATATGCCACATTGTTCAGTGTAGCTCAGCAACAGTATCAAAATGTTATTTCAAGTTGCCTTTTTATTAAGAGAAAATCTTAATACAATCTAAAAAAGATATTAACCCAGTTACCCAGTAGACTATAAGAATTCCTTAGAATTTTTTATATTTATGAAAGACATCAATAAACATATGTGTCTGTATTTCACTTGAATAACATCTGTATTGGACAGAAATGGGAAAGTTAGAGATACTATGTGACTGTGATACTGGAATATTTGACTTCCTTTTGAATTTACTTTTCAACCTCAGAGAACAGTTTATGCTGTGACACTTAAAGTACAGTGTCACTTTTTTATTTGCATGAGTATACAAAGTAAAAAATGCTCCTTTAGTAAAGACAGAGGCAACCCATAGTGAGTTAGGAACTAATTAATAACATTGCTTTTTCTGAAACTTAAGCTGATTGGCAAGAATTAAGGTAATACTTAGCAGGTATGGAACTTAACCCTGTAAAAGAAAAGCTACTTAGCCTCCAACCATGGAATCTTTCCCAGGTTTTCAATTCTATTTTTGTGCATGTACTTTAATATAATGCGAAGTGTACCATAAGCAAAAGTACTGTTTTAGAGTAATGGTTTTGTAACACAGGTTACCTCATGACATTTTTTAGACTTTGGACGCAAGTCTGGGATTTGTTTTGTGCTTCTAAAGAAATATAATATAATTGATCAGGACATAAAATATTTCCATTTCTTTTTAAACTTTGTCTTTTTTTGCTGAATCATGATATTCTCTCTACATATGGAATTTTGTATATATTTTGCTGAATATGTAACCTCTTCAAGTTTTCTTTATTACTTTTTAGTTAGAAGAGTTTGCACAACAGGCAACAGGACTGGTAAGAAGAGATATATGAAATTGGTCAAAAATTAGCTTGCTTTACAGACAGTATTTCTTCTTTACTCTTGTTATGACCTGACAACTATAGTGTCACGTTACTTCTTGGCAATTCCTCATCTGACAACAATTTCTGCATGGAATAGGAAGAAACAAAGAAGCTTGAAAAGGTTACCAGTTCAGGGAAATAGACAGGTTGACCCTTGAATGATGCAGGGGTCATGCAAAGGTTAGTTAGGAGAGCCATTCCCTGCACAGTCAAAAGTCTGCATACAACTTATCTCCAAAACATAACCTAATAGCCTACTGTTGATTTTATGATAATAAATGATAAAACAGGCTGGTATGTACATATATTTTATGCATCCCTGACATACCTTTTCCTTAAATTTCTTTGGTTTTTCTAGGCTATATAGTTCATTTGCAAATTTTTTCAAATTGTCTCAAATATCCAAAAAATTTCCCAATGTTGTTACTGAAAAAAAATATGCTTGTAAGTAGACCCATGCAGCTTGAATCCATATTGTTAAGGGGTCAACTGTATTAGTCTTTCCCTAAAGATGATACCTTATAATTTTAAAAGCAGCACAAAACTGCAGGGTTTTTTTAATAGAGAATGGAATGTATCAAAATGAATTCTCTTTATTATATATGCAGAATCCAATGAGAAGGAAAATGTCAAAAGAAGTTACAATTCCATTTCTAAACAGTTTTTCCTATATGTACACTATGAATAACTAGTTGTTACCAAGTAATGCTTAAAACTCAAATACTGGAGCTTGTGCCAAAGGCATGGTTTATCTAACAAGTGAGAAAAAAAGTCTTTCAAGCTTGATCCACATAGATATGTATAATAACAAGATACTTTTCTATGATTTTTTTTTGTAAAATATCTTTTTTGTAAAAAAAGATTATATTTTGTAAAAAATATAATACTAATTATTATATTCACTGGTATTTATGAGTAAGTAAATGAGATATCATTCATAAAAGAGTGGCTGAGAGAATATGGAATCTTTACACTTTCAGTCTCAGCGTCGTGAATCTAGTCCATTCCAGGTATTGGAGATACATGAATCACTACCAAGAAGAATAAGGAGTAAATCATGGGTCTTACTGCTAAAGCAGTTGACAATACAGTAATTATTCTGTGTCTTTTGAGAAGGCCAGGAGCAGGGGAGAGGAAATGGTGTATAAAAAAAGTGTATTACTTATAATATTCATTACAATCTATGCCATTTATGACAATGCTGTTCAGTTCAAAACCACAAACGTTTTTTTTCAGCCTATCCACTATTTTTTCTACCTGGTTCTGGGGGTGCATATATGAAAATGATGCTCATTCTTTTAATTTTGCTTGTGAAAAAATTCAGAATTCAAAAGGCATAAAAGAGTTTACAGTTAATAAAAAGTCTCCCTCCCACCTCTATCCTTCAGCCAATCAGTTTGTTTTGTTTTGGTATCCTTCTAGGAGACCAAAGATTCAAAAGCTTTGACATATATACAAACCACCTAGGAAATTTTAAAAGTTCATGTCACTAGACCTTATATGCCGAGATTCTGATTTTCTGCATCTAGAGGGTGCCCTGGTACATAGGGAATCATCCCTAGTTGTCCTGATGCAGGTACTGTTGGAATACAATTTGAGGAAAACTGGCCAGACCCATTGTTTGTGCCCACAGAAAAGATTCTATTCACCGAAAGCAGTTAGCTTTTCTTCAGTGGTTCTCTGAATATATTTTAAATTCATAAATAGACTCTGATGTTCTAGACTTAGCCTATCTCTAGCACAAAGAACAACTTGGTAAGTACCTTTGGCCATGCCTTTTGAAGGCTTCTTTACTCCTGTCACATGTATGAGGACATACAGAAATTGCTAAAAAAAGAACTTTGCCACATAGACATGTGCAATTGATTTCTAATTCCCCTTCAACCTAATTTTTTTTTTACCAATGAAATTGGTCAAAAATTAGCTTGCTTTACAGACAGTATTTCTTCTTTACTCTTGTTATGACCTGACAACTATAGTGTCACGTTACTTCTTGGCAATTCCTCATCTGACAACAATTTCTGCATGGAATAGGAAGAAACAAAGAAGCTTGAAAAGGTTACCAGTTCAGGGAAATAGACAGGTTGACCCTTGAATGATGCAGGGGTCATGCAAAGGTTAGTTAGGAGAGCCATTCCCTGCACAGTCAAAAGTCTGCATACAACTTATCTCCAAAACATAACCTAATAGCCTACTGTTGATTTTATGATAATAAATGATAAAACAGGCTGGTATGTACATATATTTTATGCATCCCTGACATACCTTTTCCTTAAATTTCTTTGGTTTTTCTAGGCTATATAGTTCATTTGCAAATTTTTTCAAATTGTCTCAAATATCCAAAAAATTTCCCAATGTTGTTACTGAAAAAAAATATGCTTGTAAGTAGACCCATGCAGCTTGAATCCATATTGTTAAGGGGTCAACTGTATTAGTCTTTCCCTAAAGATGATACCTTATAATTTTAAAAGCAGCACAAAACTGCAGGGTTTTTTTAATAGAGAATGGAATGTATCAAAATGAATTCTCTTTATTATATATGCAGAATCCAATGAGAAGGAAAATGTCAAAAGAA